TACACTGCACTATGCTATGCGCCTGCACGGAACCACGCAACACTACACTCCGCAGAACCTGTGCTTCGCCTCCTGCGCGACGGACTGCCGCGCACTAACTCCCTACCCTGCCAGTCTTCCGCTCGACTGCGCAGTCCCAAACGCTGCAACGCCGCGGACACCTCCGCCTCGAGGGTGGACATGGTATCCCGCGCCTTCGACAGAAAAGAATCTAACTTCTTCGCTACTCGCCGCCGACTCCTACTGTCACCTGCCAACAACCCGGCTGCACGAAGCTCTAACTCACGCAGTGTGAGCTTCTCCTGCGCCGCCACTTCCCAGTGGGCGTAGCCCTTGAGACAGTGGGCGACGCACCTCGCCATCTCTTCCTTCGTGCGATCTGCCTCTCGCCTGCGATCATCTTCAATTACTACCAACTGCGATTCGGCCTCCGCACGCTGAGCTCTCAATTCCTCGCACTCCGACTATAGCCTGCGGATTAAATCCTCATCCGCCTGTCGTGCGAGCTGACACTCCGCCAACAACCGCGTCTGTCGCACGAGCTCCTCTGACAGAACCTGATTCTGAGTCTTCTCAGAAATCAGTTCTTCTGTGGTCTTCACCACATCCCTGGTGAGCTCTTCCAGTCTCGCCTTCTTCAATGTGTCGTAGTGGGTGTGCGACTTCCGCACGAGATTATACTGTCCCCACAAGCATTCATGCTTCTCCCGCAAATCCTTCAGTTCCCGGTCCAACCGAGCTAGCAGCTTGCTGGTGTGGACTTTTGTGCGAGTCCGCCTGCGCACTAACTCGACGTAGGACCCAGGCTGGAGAGGATCTGCGTATTTATCAAATTTGCGATCCAAGTACCTCAGCAGAGGTACTACCTGCTCACAGAGCGCCGCCGCCGGCGCTCCAACGATTTCCTCCTCCTCCTCGGTGTCTCCCGATCCCGACATTGCTTCCGTGGATCCTCCTTCGTCATCATCCGAGGGAAGGATTTCGGTCGCCATTGATTGCGTTGGCGACTGGCCCGAGTGGGGCTACGAGTGGTCTGCGGGTGCTGCCGCCGATGGCACTCCTGCAGCTTCGTTGCTCCCCGCTAAAATGTCCAAGGCGGTGGGTGAATGTGGCCGTGCTACATCCCCATCATCCGCCTGCCGATCGTCGATCGTCTCCTCTTCCCCTGGCCCGAAGGCCGCCTCTCGTCCGCCGGAGGTGTAGCGTGGTCCGCCGCTCCTGCGGACGTCCACGCTCTCTCGATCATCTCCGGTGACGCACTTCCCTTCTCCGTGGCGATCGTTGCCGTGTCCGCGCTGCTGGCTGGTAACACAAGCCTGCGCGCCTTCTGCTTCGGCCGGCTGCACACTTCGTGCAGTGGCCGCTGTCGTATGGGAGCAGTGGGTTCTCGATGCTGCTCCTCCTCTGGTTCCTCTCTCCATCTTCGCTTCCGCGGCACTCTTGCTGCGGGTGTGCTTCTTCCATCGTCCCGCCGGGTCGGCGGAGTAGAAGCTAGTGAATCCTCTGCATCGGTGTCGACCTCGTTATCCCGCACATACTTCCCGGGATGGTCGACGGACAATGGCGGAAAGCGAGCGAGCTCCGCCGCGGTCAAACAATTCCTCTGCCGATAGAAGTTTATCAAGAACGGGGAGAGGTGATTGAGCGTTCCCCCCTTTTCCTCGAAGGCGTGCTGTCGCATCACTCTATGCAGGATGCTCGCCTAGTGAACTGGAGCTCCGGCCAAGATGAGCTCCACAAAAGAAACCTGCCATAAGGTGATGTATGAGGTGCAGTGTGGCTGCAGCAATTGCAGCAGCGCCGCCGCTACAGTTCGGCGGAAGCGATCTTTGTAGTCGCGGGTCTTGTACCCGTTCTTGGTAGACCTCTCCCGCTTGAACAATTCCACAAATTGCGCCTCGTCCTGCTTCGTCACCTTGACGCTCTCACTATCAAAGAGGAGGTACCTGTCGGTGCCGGCACACCTCCCCAATGCCTGCGCCCAATCGTGGACGGTCCACCGATCTACGTGCGGACGCAATCCGCGCGTAGGTTGTCGCTCCGCGTCCAGCCATTCGCGTACCATGTCTACACAAATGTAATTCCATCCCCACAGCAAGAAATCAAGCTTTCTTGCAATCAGCCGCTCCTCGAAAGCACGCAACCCATTCTGTGGAAGCCGGAGCGGCAGCATCCGCAACCTGTTCAATCTTGACATTGCGTTCTTGAACTTTGCTTGCGCAACAACTCTCTCTCTGCTCTGCTCGAGCTTCTTGCTCCCTCTACAAATTCTAATCTCCATCGATACCAAATCGCGCGCACTCAATTCTCTCTCAGTCCCCAAGTAATCCTCCGCGCGGCGATGTCTAGAAGGTTTAACAGCTAGCAGGTGGACGCGCGCAGCTCGCACTAGAAATTGAAATCGCGAATTCAAGAATGGGGCGTCCTCCGTCTCCTGGTCGAAGGTCATGGTCGGCTCTCGGTCGTGAAGGTCGAATCACTTGATGGCCGCGCCGGCTCCGCGCTATAACGGCCTCCTCTCTCACGCGCGGCTTCACGCTCCGCCGACGCCGACTTAACTCACGCGTTCGAATTGGCAATTTGAACTCCGCTAGCGTACTACGCCGCGGACAAGGGTGCGCAGCGCCAAAGGCGGATTTCTCGCCTTGCGCGCTACACTCGTTCATACTAATCTCTGGCCAATCCCTCTCCGCCGAAGGCGATCGTCCGCGCATCGGACAAAAGTTGAACTCCCTTCTGTGTAGGCGGAATCCCCGGCGGAATCTCCGCCGGCGCGGAACTTCATCTGCCTGTGCGTAGGCGCTCGCCTACGTGTAGGCGAATTCCGTCCGCCTATCAAATGTTCGTCCGCGCTGCTGCGCTGGCGCCAAAGGCGATGACTGCGGTCAACAGACTCCGTCCAGTCCGTCCATTTCTCTCGCCTCTCCGTCGGCGCTCTTGTCGCCGTAACCCCGTCCGGCTGAAGGCGCACTCATCCGTTCCGTCCGTACAGTCCGTACGGTCCGTACGGATTTTACTACTCCGTTGGGTCCTCGCCCGTCCGCGCTGCTGCGCTGGCGCCGAAGGCGCCGTACAATTTCCAACCCCGAAGGCGCATTTCCCGCCGACGCCGAAGCGCATGTGCGTAGGCGAGCTTCGCTCGTCCGCCTGCGCAGAGGTTTTAATCCTTCCCGCCTACGAGTAGGCGACATTCGCAGCGGACATCCCGCCGACGTCAAACCCTATTTCGCCTACGCGTAGGCGGACTGCCTTCGTCCTCGCATAGGACAAACTTTCCTCGCCTACTCGTAGGCGAGAAGCTGCGTGTCTTGCGACCTCCATAACTCCCGGAATCCTCCTCCGTTCGTGGCGTTCTTGGGCTCGTTAGAATCAGCGCGTTGAGTTCTTTTCAACGAGACCCTAACCAAGTCGAGGCGTTTGGGAATTGACCAGCATCTAAGGATTCTTCTAGCGCCGAAGGCGCAGCGCCGAAGGCGGATTTCGCGCCTTGCACCGAAGGGGTTATTCCTTTAGAGCCCGCATGTAGGGTGGTGTCCGTCCCCGACGTTGCACCCAACTCCTGGATTCTACGAGTTTTCTCGAGATTCTCTGCGATCTTCCAATTTCACTCTATTTTGCTGCACCGAAGGCTATTTACACTGCTGCCGCGGTACAGTTTTCCAAAAATGTTTTAATTTCCTCAAAAATACCAAAAGTGGGGTACCACAGATGTGCTAGCTTGATTCTCCTTGTTCTTCTTAATCCATGAGTAATAATTCTTCTTGATGTGACCCATCTTGTTGCAATAGAATCACTTCTTGTCGGCGTTGGAATTGATCTCGAGTTATTGGTATTTGTAGGTGATTTGTCATGATTCTTGGACTTCAATTTCCTTCCATCAATATTCTTGCACTACTATTTGCCACGAGCCATGTGATTTATGCCATCACCGAAGTTATTCTTATCTGCTTTCATTTCCAAGTCTTTGGATTTTAGCCCAGATATCACTTCATCTAAGGTGATAGATGACCTCCGTACTTGATTGTTGATTTCACCTCCGTGTATTCCTCTGGAAGTAGATTGAGAATGATTACTTTACTCTAATGGCTGAGCTCTTCCTTGTCGCCGGAATTTGCAAGCTTGATAGTCATCTTCAAAAACTCCTCTAAGTTGGCTTCAAAAGACTTTTACCCTAAAGTACCCCATGGACAATACTGGTCACACATGTTCTAGTATCAACAGACGATGCAGGTAATGCAACTCTATCGCAGCGATATTGGCGTTGGACGTCTACTTGAGCTCTGTTGTTAATATCAAGCTCTCATCAGTACTTCTATCTACCTATAATTTGAGTGCACTGTGCTCTCTTCAATCTCTGAAGTTACTATAATTTCAACTTCATAAGCAGTAATAGTATGGTGTGTTGGCTTCAATTCTCTATCTCCGGTTTACTTGTAGTTGTTCATGAAGACCAACTTTTCTTCATCGAGGTTGCTCTAATTCATGAACAAAGTCGAAGCATCGATCGTCATGTGAAACCATTGCAATGAGGAGCAAAAAGTGAAGTTTGAAGTTCCTCTCGCATGATATGTGTATAGTAACAAGTCCTAGAATTTTAGCAAGATGTGACCTCGATGGGTAAGACGTATCAAACGAATTCTCATCAAGCAAATTAGGTTCCGATGAAGTACCATCAAGAAAATAACTACTGCAAACTATCGGTACTTTGATCAGAAATCATACAATAATTTCGGTTATAATAGACATTGAAAATGAGGCTCTTCACATGGGGAAAAGTGAGAGTATGTCACCCTCTTAGACTTGATAAGTGGTATTAACCACGTACCGGGGCAGCCAAACTTTAAGTAGCTTACCGAATTTTGTTTTAAGACCTGCTGTGATATAACTCCAGGATACAAAAACTAAGAACACACAGTTACTATACTATGCCACTTCATCCCAAATCACACTCATTCATAGCTAGAACAAATTGAGCACGTCATCTTCACTTGCACTGCAATCATCATACCAATTCCTCAAAGGGGGCCTTCTCTTTCAGTCAGGCTTTAAGATTTTATTGAATGGTGTATCTTGCAGGAACATGGTTACATCAATGGTATGGACTCTTCAAAGAGTCGCGATTCATGAAAGCATTCATGGAGAACCATACCATCGCTGTGAAGTTGAAACCTTCTACAAGATAAGTACAATCCTCAGAGTGGCCGTCAAAGTAAACCGATCTGCGTATCATTCCAATTTCTGTATTCCCTTGCAGAAACTAACATCAGCTGCCTAAATAACAATATCCCCCTCTAGGCACAAACTCACAGATTATCACTCTATACTGCACAACCATCCTCAAAGAATTTAGAAAACCGTCCAACAAAATTTCCCTGCGTATATCAGGAGTTCAGATACTCAGCTACTACTTGGTTAAAAGTCTTTGAATCATATTGCCAAGTATGATATGGACGATATCTTTCCGTTCTGAATCACTTCCTTTCTCAGACTCTCTGACTGAACATCAGTTTTTGATGCAAGAGGAAAGCTGTAGGTGTCCTCGGCGTCTTTCAGCGTGACGTCCAGCTTTTGAAACTGGATTGTTGCCGACGATTTCTGAGTAGGAATTAGAGCAATCAGGTCGAACGCCAACCTGTCGATGACAACTTCCAGACTCACAAGAGCATATCTGATGGGCTCGAAAAACGGAATCATCGTGATAATGCCGTGCTTGCCGATCACCACATTCAGCAAGGCCTGGTGGACCTGCACGAATGTAGTCAAGGCGTCGACGACGAGCTGGGCATCAGCGTCCGGAAGGGGACCTGACGTGACTTGGTCCACCCTCACGATTCCCTCAGAAACCTTCTGAATGATGGTTGCAAATCCGCTGGCGATCACCGCTCCCTGCTGGGGAGCGTTGAAGATGTTGATCTTCTGGGTCGCAACTCTGAGCTGATCCGACATGTCTGTGACAGTCTTCAGTCCCTCGACGATCTTCTCTGTCGTAGCCATGAGAGCAGCATCAGATTCAGCGGATGCCAGCGGGAAGCTGTAGGTGTCCTCGGCGTCTCTCAACGTGACGTCCAGCTTCTGGAACTGAATTGTTGCGGAGGATTTCTGAGTAGGAATAAGAGCAATCAAGTCGAACGCCAACCTATCGATGACAGCCTCCAGACTCACAAGTGCCATTCTGATGGGCTCGAAGAACGGAATCATCGTGAGAATGCCGTGCTTGCCAATCACCACATTCAGCAAGGCCTGGTGGACCTGCACGAACGTCGTCAGGGCGTCCACTACGAGTTGTGCATCAGCATCGGGAAGCGGACCTGAAGTGACTCGGTCCACCCTGACGATTCCCTCAGAGACCTTCTGAATGATGGTTGCAAATCCGCTGGCGATAACCGCTCCTTGCTGAGGAGCATTGAAGATGTTGATCTTCTGGGTCGCAACTCTGAGCTGATCCGACATATCTGTGACAGTCTTCAGTCCCTCGACAATCTTCTCTGTGGTGGCGGTGAGAGCAGCATCAGATTCAGCGGATGCCAGCGGGAAGCTGTAGGTCTCCTCGGCGTCTTTCAATGTGACGTCCAGCTTCTGGAACTGAATTGTCGCCGACGATTTCTGAGTAGGAATTAGAGCAATCAGGTCGAACGCCAACCTGTCGATGACAGCTTCCAGACTCACAAGTGCCATTCTGATAGGCTCGAAGAACGGAATCATCGTGAGAATGCCGTGCTTGCCAATCACCACATTCAGCAAGGCCTGGTGGACCTGCACGAACGTCGTGAGAGCGTTGACGACGAGCTGGGCATCAGCGTCGGGAAGCGGACCTGAAGTGACTCGGTCCACCCTCACGATTCCCTCAGAAACCTTCTGAATGATGACTGCAAATCCACTGGCGATCACCGCTCCTTGCTGAGGAGCATTGAAGATGTTGATCTTCTGGGTCGCAACTCTGAGCTGATCCGACATGTCCGTGACAGTCTTCAGTCCCTCGACGATCTTCTCTGTGGTGGCAGTGAGAGCAGCATCAGATTCAGCGGATGCCAGCGGGAAGCTGTAGGTGTCCTCGGCGTCTTTCAATGTGACGTCCAGCTTCTGGAACTGGATTGTTGCCGACGATTTCTGAGTAGGAATAAGCGCAATCAGGTCGAACGCCAACCTGTCGATGACAGCTTCCAGACTCACAAGTGCCATTCTGATAGGCTCGAAGAACGGAATCATCGTGAGGATGCCGTGCTTGCCAATCACCACATTCAGCAAGGCCTGGTGGACCTGCACGAATGTCGTCAGGGCGTCCACTACGAGCTGGGCGTCAGCGTCCGGAAGGGGACCTGACGTGACTCGGTCCACTCTGACGATTCCCTCAGACACCTTCTGAATGATGGTTGCAAATCCGCTGGCAATCACTGCTCCCTGCTGAGGAGCGTTGAAGATGTTGATCTTCTGGGTCGCTACTCTGAGCTGATCCGACATGTCCGTGACAGTCTTCAGTCCCTCGACGATCTTCTCTGTGGTGGCCGTGAGAGCAGCATCAGATTCAGCGGATGCCAGTGGGAAGCTGTAGGTGTCCTCGGCGTCTTTCAACGTGACGTCCAGCTTCTGGAACTGAATTGTTGCGGAGGATTTTTGAGTAGGAATTAGAGCAATCAGGTCGAACGCCAACCTATCGATGACAGCCTCCAGACTCACAAGTGCCATTCTGATAGGCTCGAAGAACGGAATCATCGTGAGAATGCCGTGCTTGCCGATCACCACATTCAGCAAGGCCTGGTGGACCTGCACGAATGTCGTCAGGGCGTCCACGACGAGCTGTGCATCAGCGTCTGGAAGGGGACCTGACGTGACTCGGTCCACCCTGACGATTCCCTCAGACACCTTCTGAATGATGACTGCAAATCCGTTGGCGATCACTGCTCCCTGCTGAGGAGCGTTGAAGATGTTGATCTTCTGGGTCGCTACTCTGAGCTGATCCGACATATCTGTGACAGTCTTCAGTCCCTCGACGATCTTCTCTGTCGTAGCCTTGAGAGCAGCATCAGATTCAGCGGATGCCAGCGGGAAGCTGTAGGTGTCCTCGGCGTCCTTCAACGTGACGTCCAGCTTGGTGGCTCCCTTGGATGAAGCCTGAGAATGGCGGAATGCCAAGGTCGTGAGGAGCAACATGATGATTACGGCCTTCATCGAGAACGCCCTTTTCAGATGTGTAGCTGCAAGACAAGATTCACGAATAAAGAGAATCAGACAACATTGGAGCAGCCAAATTCAAGTGTGTGTGATCAGGCAAGAGATCTGAAATCTTCTATCAAAAAAGACCGCCAACAATTTGGTAGAGTCAATTAAGTCAAACAGATGCTAAATCCTCTAGTGTCAACACTCTAAACTCATTTCTGTCAGTCTAGAGTCTTGTTGTCGCTCTACATAAAAGCTGTGGAGGTGAACCAGATGGAGGCTGTGGTCTTCACCAGAAGCTGATGAGCTTGCCATCGTCAAGGAATGGGTGAGAGAGAACTGGCTTGTTTGAATCCAATGCTCACTTTCATTGCTACTTATACCCACTCGGACACGTGGGAATCTGAGGGTGGTGCATGAGATTCCATGGGAGACTGTTTGTACCTGTTAAGTAAACTTCAGAGGCCTCACGATTAATAAACGTTGCAATCTTCCAGGTTTCTCTATTCCAGTTAAGAATTATTTGCTACTAGTCATTCAAGTCTAATTTTGAGAATTCTAGGATTGTCTGCAAGATTTAAATAATTTGTTTTAAATTGGCCTTTGGTTTATCTACAAATTTCCCCAGTTTTAGAAGCTTCTTCTAAGGCTGGGCTTATAAGACTTCACAATTAAGTATACTGTGTCCAGAAGCTTATTAATGGCACGTAAGTGCAATTCAGAAGAATCATGTCTTAAATATGATTCTTTTCATACCCACTTCTAGACCAGTTCTCTCGACATTTGAGAAAAGTATATTTTTCTCACCTGCATGTATTTCCACAAGCCAAGATCTTCGATGTGAAGGAAAGCCTGATGTGATGAGTTGTTTTTTCAATGTGAGCTTAGTTAAATTCCTCAAACCTAGTGAAGTAATTGTTTCAACAAATTGGACAATCGGCTTCTCCAATCCCTTCAGTGACTACCCTTTCCTGTGAATTCGTCGGATGAGATGTCCCCTGCAGTTTTGCAATTCGACATTTCAAACGTAGATTCTCGTCAATGTATACAGTACCATACCACTACTCCACGATTTAACTTTCAATCATAAGCATGTACGATGATTCTCTTCCAAATTTCGTAGTATTATCGCTCTTCGTATCCTCTCTCAATCTTCAACTCCTCAGCGTTCCACCCCTATCCTTCAACCTTTTGGACCTTGTGGTGTAACGCCGTGTCTATGCTCTACTGGTGCAATTTTGGATATATCTACAACTGGAATCACAGTGTTCGCATGTATACCGAACGCTCATGATACTTCCAGTAAATAGTAGATCGCAATAATCAAGTCGTGGGCCACATCCTAGCATCACGTTAGACAGTACATCGGCAAAGGTTGTTTCTATATCACGTGTAGATCTCAGGCTCTAAGCTCTCCCGACAAGGTACACTACAGGGTGAGATGTATGATCCTATCACGTGATTGTCTGTGAACAAAATTAAACAAACCGAACAAAACTGCTCCAGAACTGCTTGGCCTAAGTACAGTGAAGTTGCTCAACAATTGATGGAAGCACAATAATCAAGAACGGGGCGTGAAGGAATTTTCATCCCAAAACCAACAGAAATCACATGTAACAGACACAAACGAACACAAGAATGTGGTGATGAAAGACTAGTTCCCGCAAACTACTCAATGAAGGTAGAGTATGTAACCAATATCAAATGTCCTAGTACTTTTCTTTTCTCACATCTTTAGATAATTTCAATCTTGTTTACCCAACAATATAAACCCTTCCTCACATATGATTCTCTCTTGCAATGTGTTTCTCACACTTAGCTTTTCTTCAAGTCCCCTACTTATCATGTATTCCTTATAACGGACTTAGACTTAGACTTATAACGGACAAATATTAGAAGGAATCAAAGTCGTCAAACCCTCATACGGTACATAGTATATTGACACATCTTAAGGTACAAAAATCTTTAAAGAAAAACGACATGTAGATGGAGTTGATATCTCCCAATCTCCATCTCAGTCTTTAGTTTCCAACTTGATCAACTGTACTCAAAATTTGTCCTTATACTTCACTTATTCATTGTTCGATTTTGCTCATTCACTTTGCATCAACTACTAGAAGCTTCAAGCATAACCAAGACTTACCCAAAGTTACCACTTTCGTATCACGGTTTGCATGTCGGAACACGATATTGTTCCAAACATTCAATTAACAAGTTTTTCGGCGAAAACCTCACTAATAGAGACTCAAATGTCTGTTCCGGAGATCCTATGAAGTAGAAGGAGAAGCATGAGATTCAAGACGTGGTGTTTATCGACAATAAACCCCAAATTACGACCCATGATCAGAGATTAAAATCTCACAAATGGTACTCCAAAAATTGGATGTAGATGTTGAGGTAGGATCTTGTTAGCTTTTTCTACACCAAGGATCCACAAATGTAACAAGTGACAAAATAAAAGTTTACCCCTATATCAGAGGGCGCCGTTAATCTTCTGGTAGGATGTATTCTTGTAGGAATTTCCTAACCTTCCAGCAATTGAAGTGACGGAAGAACCAATATGAAAATTACAAAGAAAAACTAAAACAAGATGTGCCGTTCCAAGGTATGTTCAGGGCTGTTAGATCATGACCAATACGTTACGCAACAGACCCCCACACACCCCAACCAACAACTACAAAGACATTCAGATCAAGACTCAGAATGAAAATATTACAGTATAGGATAAGTGGAAGCCTCATGCCATGTCTGGAAGTACCCTGCTCGACTACTATGGAACCTCATCAAAAGATCGAACTGGCATATATCCAAACTTCTCCTACCCGGAGCACTCCACGTGATACTACCCAATCCTAACTGCGACTATCTCACACACACATTATACATGTAAACAAGATCATGAGGAGATCCTTCCACTACATACTAGAATTCATTTATCACAAATCTTCCACTGGATCCCGAGACTTACTATCACAAATTTACAAATTTGGCCCTATTGCACTCACAAAACTAGCAAGAACCCAGGCCTAAGGTTACACATATAAAAAGCAAGTGCTGCAAAAAAGATGCAAGTCTCATAAGAAAACGAAAGGAAATATCCAATACATGATACCCAAGAGCATTTAAAAACTAAAATTTCCAAATCAAACTGCGATGGCTGTGATCCTTTCGAAAATCCTAGCTGCCACCAAAAATCTCCATATTCCACTTTTCAAGAATTTTGGATTTGACTTCTACTTGGTCACCGCTTTCTGCCGCCAGGAGCCTGGCATACATATTCTAGCCTAACAGAGACTATCCAAGTATTAGAGAAGTCCTAGATTGTAATAACCCACCAAAGGCTAAAACTGCAATATAGTGGTAGAAAGGTCGAACCCATAAGGACAGAGGCAACACACAGAGTACAAAGTGTCACATTTAACAGACTATTGAAGAGTTTGAATTCTCAGGCGACTGTCACTCCCAGAAATACTGCAAGTGTTCACTCGGAGGTCGCAAAGTGCAGCGTAGTTCACTCAACACACACACACACACACACAGAACTGCAACTATAGAAACACATCTCAAAGGTTGGTTAAGACCTCTATTTAAGATTTCAGGGAGAAAGTCTCTCACGGATACACTTCAGCAAATCTGCGGGTAGTGACTCCCAACTCCGGCTTTTATAACCCTTCCACTAGTTTCTGCTAGCATAGGGAACCCGGATTGGACTTCCTACTTCGGATCGAAGTCACTCACACGCGGTGAACAACACACTCAACTCACAAAACGCGCAGAGAACACAGGTCCAACTGAGAGACTCAAATGAGAAACGATCCAGTAGCACACTATAACAATCTATTGAAGAGTTTGAATTCTTAGGCACTTGTCATTCCCAGAAATACTACACGGGTTTGCCCCGAGGGCACCTGCTGCAGCGTAATCTGAATTTACAACCAAGGCTTACTCGAAGTAGCAAAACTTCACTTTGGCATTCAGGGGAAAAATCCCGAAGGAGTACAATCAGGAACAATCACTCGAAGGTGTAAGGGGGAACTGTTCAGGTATCTAACTCGTAACTGGCTCTGAGCATCGGCAATCACCCGCAGGTGTAGATCCGAACTACTCAAGTCTCTAACCAATGTACTAGCTCTGAACATTCGGCCGAAGGCCTTCAGCTACAAAATGCGGAACGCCAAGTTGTAGCTCCTCTTGCGCGGTGACAGAACTAAGGACACAAACACGTAGAGAAAATGAGTTCTTGATCTGCACTTCCAAAACTGGAAGAATCCCAAGGCAAGACGCCTTGAACTACTTTATACCTTCTAAGTCCTTACTAACACTACACTGCACTACAGTACACGTGTGGTAACCCACTTTTGGTATTTATGCGGAATTTAAAACATTTTTGGAAAACTGTACCGCAGCAGCAGTGTAAATAGCGATCGGCACATTTAAATATAGTGAAACTGGATGATCTCGTAGAATCTCGTAGAATCTCGTAGAATCCAAGAGTTAAGCGCAATGTCCGGAACAGGCGCCCGCCCTGAACGATCGACTCTAAAGGAGTTCTCCTCCGGCGCAAGGCGCATAATTCGCCTTCGGCGCTAGAGGAATCCCTCAGAATCTATGCAATTCCCAAACGCTTTGACTTGATTAGGGTCTCGTTGGAAAGAGCTTGACGCGCTGGTTCTAACCAGCCCAAGAACGCCCGGAAAGGATCAGGACTCAGGGAGTTGTAATGGTCGAAAGATACGAAGACTTTCGCCTACGCATAGGCGAAGGAAGTTCGACTACGCATAGGCGAAATAAGTTTGACGTCGGCGGGAAGTCCGCCGAGAATTTCGCCTACGCATAGGCGGGAGGACTTGCACCTACGCATAGGCCGGACGCATCCCTGGCGCAAGACCTAATGGTGGAGCGGGACCGATCGGTGGAGCAGGACCTAACAGAGGAGCGGATTAACTATCCGCAGGGTGAAATTCGTGCGCGCGATGCACAATTGCACTCCGCGCAGGTAAATTCCGCATGACCGCCTTCGGCGGTAGACGCCGGCGGCGAGGAGGTTACAATCGCAGCGGGGCAGGCGGACGATGTGAATTCGGCACGACCGCATTCACCCACCGCCGTGGACATTTTAGCAGAGAGCAGCGAGGCTGCAGGAGCGCAAGCGGCGGCAGAGCACGCAGACATCTCGCAGCCCCGCACAGGTCAGTCGCCGACGAATTCAATAGCGACCAAAATCCTCAGTTCGGAGGATGACAAAGAAGGAGGATCAACGGAATCAGTGTCGGGATCGAAATCCACCGAGGAGGAGGAGCAGGAAATGGAAGGTGCGCCGACGGCGGCGCTCTGTGAGCAGGTAGTACCT